AAAAAAAAAACCAACTACCCCTAAAAATACCTTGGAGGGGCTGGGAAGGTAGCTCAGTGGTAGAGCGCTTGCCTTGCATGCATGAGGCCCTGGGTTGGATTCCTTAGTACCACATAAGCAAAAAAGAAAAAAGCCGGAAGTGGTGCTGTGGCTCAAGTGCTAGAGCACTAGTCTTGAGCTGAAGAGCTGAGGGACAGTGCCCAGGCCCAGAGTTCAGGCCCCACGACCAGAAACCCCCCCCCAAAAAAATTTTTTTTAAATACCTTGGAGGAACTCAAACAGATGCTGGTACATAACCATGTGCAGCAGCATTAGTAATAAGAGCTAAAGAGGAAATATATTAAGTGCCCATCAGCAGAAGGACCAGATAAATAAAATGTAGCATATGTGTACAACAGAGTATTCTCCAACCATAGAAAGAAATAAAAGTTCTGATACATGTGATAGATGTGAAGTGAAAGTTCTGATAGATGTGAAGTGAAAGAAGCCATGAAATATCTTCCATGAAATATCTACGAGAGTCAAAATAGAGATAGAGAGTAAACTAGAGAAGTTCAAGCATAGTGGGTACAGAGATTTTGTTTAAAGTAGTACTAGAAAAATATTGCAAATAGTGACAATGTACTAATGTATTCAACTTAATTTGATTCAAAATGAATGCTTTTGATATCACATATGCTGAAAAGTACAAGCTAAAATAGTAAATTTAATATATATTTATATTCATGTTTGTTTACAACCATTGTAAAATTCGTTTTAAAAAATTCCATGAGACAAACTTTTTGGGAGGAGGGGGTTCAGTTGTGGGTCTTGAACTGGGGGACTAGGAGCTGTCCCTCAGCTCTCACCTCAAGGAAAGCACTCAACCACTTGAGCCACAGTGTCACTTCTGGTTTTCTGGAGAAAAGAGTCTCACAGACCTTCCTGCCCAGTCTGGCTTTGAACCATGATCCTCAGATCCTAGCCTCCTGAGTAGCTAGGATTACAGGCCTGGGCCACTGGCGCCCGGCGAGACAAACTTTAAAATAGATAAATCTGAAACTTAAAGTCAAATATACTTTTATAAACCAGTTTAGAAAATGTACACCATAGAAAATACATCCCAGGTAACTAAGTTGACTTACCAATGACCCTTAAAAAAAGAAAAAAAGGTCCCTTCCAAGTATACCTTTAGTATTTTGGCAAAAAGCATTTTCAGTATTTGAATCTCTATTCACTTGTATGGCCGATTTTCACCTATTAAGATACAAGACTGCCATCCTGTGGCAAGAAAAGGAAACTGAAGGGTTTTTCCAAAACAGAAAGTGAAAATTCCTTAAAAATTAGGAGTCTTGAGCCTAGAGGCCAGTTTTGGTTCCAGAGAGAATTTGAGGCCACTTTGGGATATATTTGAGACCTAATCTCAAAAGAAAAAAGAGCTTCCATGATGATTAAATTCTTTCACATTGTTGTGTAAGTGGGAAATCTATAGACTATACCACTGGGAAAAAATAGTTCTTTTATTCCCTATGCTACTTTATAACAAAGCATGAAATTTTTAAATATTTAAAATCTGAATTTCAAATATTTATAATAAGGCTTAAACATGTATTTTTGTAACCTAAATATCATATTTCACACTTGGAATGTTGGTCTTAAGAGTCGTTCAGAGAGAAAAATGAAAAAGTTTGATACTTCAACAACCATCACAGTTGGCTATTACATGCTATTTAAACATATACTTTGCCTTTTAATATAAATCAGTACATCTGCAATTAAGTTACCAAGCTATGAATATTTACCACTTCTTTTTTTTTGGGGGGGGAGGGGTCCAGTCGTGGGGCCTGAACTCTGGGCCTGGGCGCTGTCCCTCAGCTCTTCAGCTCAAGGCGAGCGCTCTACCACTTGAGCCATAGAGCCACTTCCAGCTTTTTCCTTTTTGCTTATGTGGTGCTGAGGAATCGAACCCAGGGCCTCTGGCATGCAAGGCAAGCACTCTACCACTGAGCCACCTTCCCAGCCCAATATTTACCACTTCTATTAATATAAAGCATACACAAGATCTTAAAGATCATAAGCCATTTGCCAATCAAAAAACCACTCCTACAATCCTCAAATACTATAGACTCGTGAATTTTCAAAATTGAGAGGTATTGGGGTCTTAAGGCCTTTCCATTTAATCTCTGGCACCAGATCTTCCTCAGAATGTGCAGGCATCATCTAGACTTCTTCCAATCCATGTATTTTGTAATGACAGGAGTGTCTGAAAGACATACATTCTACACTTGAGGTGTATGAAAATAGAAAAAAATAGAGAGCCCCTATATAGGGAATATTAAGTAAAATTTAGACAAGGATTCATATACAACATTTCCTAAGTTTGCTGTGAAACAAAGGTTTTCTAAAATTTAGACAAAGACATATATACAATATTTCCTAAGTTTGCTTTGGAATCAAAATGAAACAAAGGCTTTCTCTAGAGGTTGGCTGAACGTCACAAGTAGAGTTCTCTAGAAGCAAATATAGAGGAGGGATTGAATATGAAAGATGGGCTTAGCAGCTAACACCTTTGAAAGGCAGGAAGAATAAAGACTGAAGAAAGCAGGTTCCTCAAAGATAGTGTGTGTGTTCTTTTTCCTTGGAAAATAACACGTTGGAAATGCTTTAAAGACTGCTAAATCTGGTAGATCCTTAACATGTTCTATCTCACTTAGTTTTCATAACGTAGGTTCATGAAAGATTTTTTTATTAAATAAAAAACCATGCTAAATGAAATTGAACCATGATTCTTCATATGACCAAGCTTTATTACAACTCCTGAATGTCTCCTACAGCTATCTGTGCATTTTTTTTTTTTTGTAGAAACCAATTTCAGCAAGAACCCTACTAAGTCAATTTAACAAGAAACCTCCACCTTCAATATCACACCAATCACTCAACTTCCATCTCCCAGGTGATGTCTGATCATTCTGGCCTGATTTTATGAAGAACCCTATTAGCTCAGTTTGGTAAAAATCCCTTTTACTACTGATGTTATACCTCAATAATTTTCAATCCATGAGTCTCAACTTTTTCCCTGGTTATAAATTCACACTAGTCCTTCCTGTATTTGGAATTGATCCTAATCTTGTTCCCTTATTGCAGTTTGCTATACCTGTGAAATGATCCTGAGTAAAATCTTCCTTACCATAAAGGAAAAAAAAATACCAATGCAGAAGAAAGTCTCAACAGAAGACTTGGCTTTCAACCTCCACTCTTATGTCTAGCAACCTAACTCAACAATTCTTCTGGAGCTTTACAATTAACAATTTGCAGCTCTGCTTCAAATCCTAAATTTGCAGCTCTACTGCAAATTATTCTACCTTTTCCAAACTATTACTACAATTAGGAGAAAGAATATCCTAAAAAAAATTTTTTTTGGGGGGCGTCCAGTCGTCGCTCTACCACTGAGCCACTTTCCCAGCCCCAATATCCTAAAATATTAAATATTCAAAAATAGACATCTGAGAGCTAGATGTGGTGGTACACACATGTAATCACAGGACTTGGGTAGAGAAAGACAATTAATTAGGAGTTCAAAGCCAGCCTGGGCTATAGTGAAACTCCATTCAATATAAGGAGATCCTATCCCAGAAGGAAAAAATAAGAAACTAGGAAATGTGGCATTTGGTCATAGGTAGCTCATGCTTGTTATCCTACTAGGACAGGCTAAGCTACTTGGGAGGTTAAGAATGGGAAGAACATGGTTTGAGGCCAGCCTAAGAAGAAAGCTCATGAGACTCCTCCTCAACCCCTAGCTGTGCACAGTCATCCTCAATTAAGCAGAAGACTGCAATTGGGCTGTTGCATGCCAGCCAGCTAGAAAAGTCTGTAAAACTCCATCTCAATGAAGAAAAGATAGATGTGGTAGCACGTGCTTGTCATCCCAGCAATGACAAGAAGCTTCCCCCGACCCCTAGCCCCCCACCCCCACAAAGGAGGATAGTGGTCCACACTATCAGGCATACACCCAAGCAGAAGTGAAATTCTATCTTAAAACAATAACAACAACAACAACAAAAAAGCCTGGGACTGTGGGGTTGGCTCAATGATAGAGTGCCTGTTAATGTGATGCTCTAAGTTCAAAGTACTAACCTCCCCCTCCCCGAAAAAAAAGAAATAGCTTTTAAATTAAAAAAGACATTTGAAATTATATAGTAAAAGTTTTCCGGTTACTCCTAAATCCTGGTTATAAGAAAATTAATATTTACATCGGGCTTATTTAAGGATGAAAAATCAAATTAAAATTCATTTCTACTTTACCTTCTACTCAAAATAACATGGACTGAACAATGAATATTGTCTTCACCTTTTTTTGTGACACTAGGGTTTGAACTAGAGGTTTTGCTCTTGCTAGGCAAGTGTTATATCACTTGAACCATGCTTCCATGATTTTGTTTATTTTTGTGCCAGTACTAAGACTTGAACTCAGGACTTTGCACTCTAGCTTTACTCTTTTGCTCATAGCTGGGGCTCTGCAACTTGTAGTCCCAGTTTTTCAGTGGTTAATTGGAAATTAACCACTCTCTTGAGGGGCTGGGAATGTGGCTCAGTGGTAGAGTGCTAGCCTTGAGCTGAAGAGCTGAGGGACAGCACCTAGGCCCAGAGTTCAAGTCCCATGACTGACTTAAAAAAAAAAAAAGGGCTGGGAAGCTGGCCCAGTGGTAGAATGCTTGTCTTGCATGCATGAGGCCCTGGGTTCAATTCTTCCACATAAGCAGAAAAAAGCGGGAAGTGGCTCTGTGGCTCAAGTGGTAGGGCACTAACCTTGAGTTGAAGAGCTGAGGGACAGCACCCAGGCTGAGTTCAGCTCTCATAACCGACAAAAAAAAAAAAAAGATAATGATCCTATAAACACATTTAACTATCCTACTTATGCTTTCATTATTCAATCAATATGCTACATACCTATTATATCAGCTATTACTGTATTTTAAGCTTCTTTCTAGTTTCTCAAATAAGTCACAGTATAAAAATCTTACCAACATGACCTCCTCCAATGGTGTATGTCTTCCCAGATCCAGTCTGTCCATAGGCAAAAACAGTTGCATTATAGCCCTCAATGAGTGACAACACTAGGGGCTTTATACATGTATTATAAATTTCATCTTGAGTGGAATTTTTGCCAAAAACAAAATCAAAAGTAAAAACTCTATCTCTCCCAATGATAATTTGCTGGGTGTTTGGAATAACTCTCACACAAACTTGATGATTATGAAGAACTTCTTTACAAAGCAGAGGTCTAATTCTTACGGCGACTTTTACTGGTATTTCTTCCATGGCAGCTGTTCAGTATCTAGTGTGAGAAACATCCATTTTACTGGACTCCTGTGTATTAAAATAAAAGACAAATTTTATTACTGACTCCACTTATCCTAATAAAATTACTATCTTTTAAAGCAAAGCCAATTCTAGCATGGATTTTTCTCCAGCATTAAATAGTTACAAAGAGGGCTGGGAAGATGGCTCAGAGGTAGAGTGTTTGCCTTGCATGCATGAGGCCTTGGATTCAATTCCTCAGCAGAAAAAGCCAGGAGTGGTGCTGTGGCTCCAGTGGTAGAGCACTAGCCTTGAGCTGAAGAGCTCAGGGACAGCGCCCAGGCCCAGAGTTCAGGCCCACGACTGACCAAAAAAAAAAAAAAAAAGTTACAAAGACTAAATCTCTCTTGTAAAATAAATCAATAATTTATTGATGAAATGATATGACAATTGGATTTGCTTCAAAATAGTTGAGGTAAGAAGGGCCATGAATTGGTAAATTAGAAAGGTAAGTGATAAGCACATGAGATTCCATTTTATATTTATTTCTACAGCAGTATCTGCCTATATTGAATAGTTAGGAAATTCACACAAAGAAATAACTGAAGAATTACCCACAGATTAAAAGCAAACATTTGTATTATATATTGTCGTTATTTACTGAAACATAACATTGATATTGAAACATAACAAAGATTAAAAGTAAATCTATCTGGGCTGGGAAGTTGGCTCAGTGGTAGAGTGCTTGCCTTGCATGCATGAGGCCCTGGGTTCAATTCCTCAGCACCACATAAGCAAAAAGAAAAAAGCCAGAAGTGGTGTTGTAGCTCAAGTGGTAGAGCACTCGCCTTGAGCTGAAGAGCTGAGGGACAGCGCCCAGGCCCAGAGTTCAGGCCCCACGACAGGACCCCCCAAAAAAAAAAAAGTAAATCTATCTTATGTAAAAGTTAAAAGTAAATTTAATTTTTGTGAGTGTTTGTGTGTGTGTGTGTCGGTCATGGGGCTTGAACTCTGGGCCTGGGCGCTGTCCCTGTGCTCTTCAACTCAAGACTAGCGCTCTACTGCTTGAGCCATAGCACCACTTCCAGTTTTCTTGTAGGTTACTGGAGATAAGATTCTCAAGGACTTTCCTGCCAGGGCTGGCTTTGAACTGTGTTCCTCAGATCTCAGCTCCTGAGTAGCTAGGATTATGGTGTGAGCCACCAGTGCCTGGCTAAATTTAATTTTTAATCCCAGCTACTTAGGAAACTGAGATCTATAAGATAGCAGTTCAAAGTCAGACCAGGCAGAAAGCACACAAGACTTAATTTCCAAAATAACCAACAAAAATCAAACATGGAGACATGGCTCAAGTTGTAGTGTCAGATAAGCAAGTAAGATGAGGCTGAGTTCAAATCCCAATACAAAAAAAAGGTGAATCCATGAAATTTCTGTTTATATAAATTTAAAACTAAATATATGAATATAAAATTAAATATTTTATTAAAAAATAACCATAACTAAGCCAGGTGCTGGTGGCTTATGTCTGTAATCCTGGCAGGAGGCTAAGATTTAAGGATTGAGGTTTGAAGCCAGCCTGAATAGGAAGGTCCATGAAACTCTATTTTTAATTAACCACCAAAAAGCCAGAAGTAGAGCTGTAGCTTAAGTAGTAGTACCTTTGAGCCAAAAAGGTAGGGGGCAGTATTGGCATGTGGGCGCGCGCACATGCGCGCGCGCGCGCGCACACACACACACACACACACACACACACACACACACACACACACACAAGCGCTAACAGAAAATTTTCTTTTCCACTCCAAAATACTATGTTGTATTTATTTCTGAAGCTCTCTGGTGAAATTAATACATTAATAATTAAACTGGAGCCAGGTGTCCTGGGTGCATGCCTGTACCAAGCACTAAGGAAGCTAAGGCAGGAAGATCATGAATTCAAAATCAACCTGAATTACATAACAAAACAAAACAAGTGGCCGGGTGCTGGTGGCTCATGCCACCTAGCTACTTAAGGAAGCTGAGATCTGAGGATCATGGTTCAAAGCCAGCCCGGGCAAGAAAGTCTGTGAGATTCTTTTCTCCAATCAACTACCAGAATACCGGAAGTGGCGCTATGGCTCAAGTGGCAGAGCGCTGGTCTTGAACTGCAGAGCTCAGGGACAGCAACCAGGTCCAGAGCTACTCAAGAGGCTGAGATCTAGAGGACAAAGGTTGTTTCAGCCAGCGCAGGTAAAAAAGGCTGTGCGACTTCATCTCCAGTTAACCAATAAAACGCCAGACTGCAAGTATGGCTCAAGTGATAGAGTGCTCACTGTGAACAAGAAAGTGCTTGAGGCCCTGAGTTCAAGCCCTTGGTACCAGCACAAAAATATATTGAAGTCCCTACTACACTTACAATGAGTATCCTGAAAACTAAGAGAACAATTACACTTACAAAAGCATAAAAAAGAACACAATATTTTTATGTAACTGTAACTCATCGGTACATCACCTGTATAGTAACAATAAAAAATAGAATATTTAAGAAGTAATTTAAGAAGAGCTATACAATTTCTACACTGAAAACTTCAAAATATTGAAAGGAGGGCTGGGTGCGTGGACCAAGTAATAGAGTACCTGCTTAGCAACACAAGGCCCTAAGAGTTTATGTGCATGATTGAAAACTTTAACTTTGGTTTTATTGATTGCTTGTGAGATTTGATACCAGAGGCAAAGTCAATAAAAGAAAAATTAGACAAACTGATTGCAGTTCAAAGCCATCCCAGGCCAGAAAATCCATGAGATGCTTATCTCCAATTAATCACCAAGAAATAAGCTGGAAGTGGAGCTGTGGATCAAGTGGCAGGGCACTAGCCTTGAGCACAAAAGCTCAGGGACAGCATCCAGGTCCTTAAGCCCCAGGACTGGCACCAAAAACAAAAACAAAAACAAAACCCAAACAACTAAAAAGAAACTTCAGGGGCTGGGAAGGTGGCTCAGTGGTAGGGCGCTTGCCTTGCATGCATGAGGCCCTGGGTTCGATTCCTCAGCACCACATAAGCAAAAAGAAAAAAGCCAGAAGTGGCACTGTGGCTCAAGTGGTAGAGTGCTAGCCTTGAGCTGAAGAGCTGAGGGACAGCACCCAGGCCCAGAGTTCAGGCCCAACAACCAGACCCCCTTCCCCACCCTCACCCCCCCCAAAATAAACTTCAGCAGCAGTACCACTCATTTATAATTCAGAGTAGATAATGTAAACAGAATCACAATAACAAAAATAATTTACATCATGTTAGTAGGATCCCATTGAGAATTTTAAAAATATACACCAGATCCCTTGGGCTCTAAAATCTCAAAACAGTTAACAACAACCTATCTTTGAAAGCCAAAACAGCCAGGCACAGGTGGCTCAGGCCTGTAATACTAGGTACTCAGGAGGCTGAGATCTGAGGATAGAATTGAAAGTCTCCCTGGGCTAGAAAGTCTATAAGACTCTTTTCCCTAATAAACTATTCAGAAAAAGCCAAGAGTGGTGCTGTGGCTCTAGTGATACTGTTAGCCTTGAGCAAAAAGAAGCTCAAGGGCAGCACCCAAGCCCAGAGTTCAAGCTTCAGGAACAGGAAAAAAAAAAAAAAAATCAAAGAGATATGTCTAATCTTGGAAGTTTTAACCATTCCAATCAAAATCTGCACTGAAAAAATAAATGCTCATAGGTAGTAAATCCTTTCTTAGATTCCAAAGGACTCTGCAATTTGGTACTAGAAACTCAAACTGTTTAGAGATTCTTCCAAATTTCTCTGAACACCTACAACTTAAGTTTTCATCTATAAATTAGATGCTTTTTTTCTTTTTTTTTAATGATTTTTTTCTTTTAACGATATCACATTAAAGCAAAAGTCATGTCTATGCTAAGGCAACCCTAACTGCTTTAAATTGTTAAATATAATTTGGATATTTTCACTTTCTTAGTTTTATGATGGGAATTTGATCTTATAGGCTATTGAAACTCACCTTCGGCAAATCATTAAGAAATAATAATGGCCCATAAATATATAGCTTGTAAAATAACCAATACAAAAAATGTATATACACACACACACATACATATATATATATATAGTCTATAGTAACTGTAATTCTTCAGAGTAACTAGTTATTAGAGACAATGGGCCATAAACATATGGCTTGTAAACAATTACATATACATACACACATATTACATATATAGTCTATTTAAATTATAGTTCTTAAGATTCTGATTAACTATAGTCTTTGGAGACAAGTATTGTCACCAACACATGTTACAAAGGTGAAATCTGCCCAGCAGCTGGTAATACTTAGGTATACTCAGTGGATTTTTGAAATGTGACCAAATTCAAGGTAAGGATTTGACCCCTATGCCATGCTTCTGATCATAAACAGTATCTCTAAAAATCAAAGCCATCCTGTGCTCTTGGTTTCTCAAAAGGTAGAAGTTGCTTAAAACTTGTGATTTGTTAATTATTAATCTTTTCATAACAAACTTCCCAGCAGATTAGATGTAAACTGAAGAAGGATCTCAGTTTCAAAAGTCTCAAACGCATAAAGACAGCTAAAGCAAAAAAAAAACAAACAAACGATATTACACATGAGAAGGAAAGGTGTTAGCGGTGTTATCAAGAAACAATCTGAACATTCTTTGTCTTCCTCCATTATCACCTGCATTTTGGCATCACAAGAGCTGCCAAAAGAAAAATTTAAAAATAAAGAGAGGAAAAAAACCTGCCACTGGGGATGGCAGCTGTCGGGTTCTACAGCGATTCCATGTGCCAAAGTTTCAAACCTAGGCGAGGAAAAGGAACCCTCAGGTGGGGGGGGGAGGTCCTGGGGGGGGGCGATCCTGGGGAGGGGGTTCCGGGGGGGGCCTGGGGGGGCGGTCCTGGGCCCCCTCACATCCCTCAGCGATGAGGTGGACACAGACCCGACTCCAGGACTTGGTCCCACGTTTTCTGAGGTCCCAGTTTCCAGCCCTTACACCTGGGGCGCTTGTGGGACGACCCACTTCTCTCGGGCTCTTCGCCAGGCTCCCAGCAACAACCCCAGGCCTCCGCCGGCGCCAACTCAGCCTCCCTGGCGTCCCAACCGCCGGCCAGCCCACCCCGCGGCGTCCCGACTCCCAACGGCGGGCCCCGGGGAAGGGATGGAGGGCCGTCGCGGAGGGAGTAGGGCCTGCTTCCCCAGCCTACCCAGCCCGGCCCCGCGGCTCACTGACCGGCCCGGGAAAGCGCTGGTTTCGGGAGGGGGCGCAGAAGTCCTCGACTTGACTCTACCGCGCCTCAGCCGCCGCCCGGGCCTTTTGTTGTCAAGGTTCTCACGGCAACCCGCGCCTCCTCTGGGCCGCTGCGCCTCGGCCCCGCCTACTCAGGCCCCGCCCCCTCGATACCACGCCCCCTGAAAGCCCCGCCCCCGAGGCCCCTAAGTGTAAGCGGCCTATGCAGTTTCTCACCTATCGCAGAGGACCAGTTTCTAGATAGCCACAGGTTCCAGAAAACGAGTGTGAGAACGTTTCCACATTGCATTTCCGTATCTTAGATAACAAATCAGATTCTTTCCTTTCTTTCCTTTTTTCCTTCTTTCTTTCTTTCTTTCTCCTTCCTTCCTTCCTTCCTTCCTTTCTTTTTTTCTTTCTTTCTCCTTCCTTCCTTCCTTCCTTCCTTCCTTTCTTTCTTTCTTTCTTTCCTCTTTTTTTGTTTTTGCCAGTCCTGGACCTTGCACTTAGATATGGGCACTGTCCCTAAGCCTGTATGCTCAAGGCTAGAGCTCTATCCCTTGAGCCACAGCGCCACTTCCAGCTTTGTCTGTTTATCCGGTACTGAGAAATGGAACCCAGGGCTTCATGCATGCTAGGCAAGCACGCTACCACTAAGCCTCATTCCAGCCCTGTTTCTTTCTTTTTTTTTCTTTAAGAGAAAAATTTGCAAAATATAAAATAAGCTGGGTTTTTTAAATTTACATTTCAGTGTTGTTTACTTACTATTGGGGGGGGGAAGAAAGGGGGCCTTCTGAAACTTCAGTGGGATGAACTGATAAAAGGCAAATTTATTAACATACAAAAGGGGAAAATTATAGCAGACCAAGGCACAGGATTGTGTATGTGCAGTAGTTGCAAGATGATTCAGAAATATGCACTCATGAACTAGGCTCCTGTGGTTCATCATAGCCTATAATCCTAGCTACTTACGAGGCTGAGATCTGAGAATAGTGGTTCAAAACCAGCCCTAGAGGAAAGTCTGTGGGACTCATCAACTACCAAAAAGTCAAAGTGAATCCATGGCTCAAATGGTAGAGAGCAGGGGGGAAAAGCTAATGGACAGAGTCCTGGTCCTGAGTTCAAGACCTAGGACTGAGAAACAAACAAAGCACCTATTTTCCATAGGGAAAGAGGGACAATGAGAATATAGACAGTTTTTAGGAGAATATTAAATGATTTTTTAGGCTTGTAAAATGTCTACAATGGCCTAGGACTAGGTCAACTGGTGCCACAGAAAAGACAATGGACTTCCAAGAATTTGGGGGGAAATACTGAATGTGAGTGTTGACAAAGTCTATCCAAGAGTATTGACAGACTTTTGTCCCACAATATGACTTCAGTTAAGGGGAAACTCCTTGGTTGTCCTGACTTTAAATAACAAGGAGATAAATGCCTGCTGTCCTCAATTACTTATGAGAAGACTTTTTTTTCTGTTCTCTCTCTCTCTTTTTTTTTTTTTTAGCAGTTGTGGGGCTTGAACTCTGAGCCTGGGTGCTGTCCCTGAGCTCTTCAGCTCAAGGCAAATGCTCTTCCACTTGAGCCACAGCACCGCTTCCCCTTCTGTTCTCTAAGTTCCTGTATTTTTTATTTTTTTTGCGCTGGTACCGAGGCTTGAACTTAGGGCCTGGGCACTGCCATTTCACTCAAGACTGGTGTTTTACCACTTGAGCCACATCTCCATTTCCAGCTCTGTTTCCAGGACTTTATTGCCTGAGCTGGTTTTGAACCTTGCTCCTCAAACCTCAGGTTCTGGGTAGCTAAGATTATAGACATGAGCCACCAGCGCTCTGTTCTACATTCCCTTAATTTCAAATAATCAGCATGCCAGGATGCCATATTTAGAGATGGAGATCTCTGGACTCATTCAAATGTTCACAGCGTTGTATAACTCTCATCTTTGTGTTTCGTTCCAAAATCAAATCCTATCACCTCAAAGGAGATTTCCTAAACCAGTCACTCCCTCCAGTTCCCATCTCTTCCAGCTCCTGCTAACTACTAGAATCTACTTTCTTTGTCTATGGACTCACCTATTCTGGGCATCTCATATTCATGGAATCTATAGTATAAGATTTGAATCTATAGTATAATATTTGAATCTATAGTATAAGATTTTGTATATGGCCTTCTGCCCCACCCTCAGGGCCCTTCATGTTAGCCAAAGGCTCTACTATTTGAACCATGCCCTCATCCCTTTGGTTTGTACTTTATTTTTTGAGATAAAGTCTCAGGAACTGCCTGAGCTGACCTCAAACTTGGAATCTTCCTGCTTTGGCCTCTCTAGTAGCTGACATTACAGACCTGTGCCACCACATGTGTGACTTTTGCTTAAAATGTTATCAAGGTTCACTAGTGTTGTATCAGGACTTTTTACTAAATTTCATAACTAAATAATATTCCATCATATTGATTACTTCATTTTATTTAATCCATTCATTAGTTGATAGAAATCTGAGTTATTTCCACTTTTGGTCAATAGAAATAATGCTTCTATGATCATTCTTATACAAGTATTTATTAATGTCTATTTTCAGTTCTTTTGAGTATAGACCTGGAAATTGAATTGTTAGGCTAGGCTCTACAGTAATTTTTTTTCTTGTTTTATCATATTGGTGGTGCTGGAAGTTAAACCTAGGCCCTTTGTTATTCTAGGCAAACACTAAGCTACCAACTACCACTTCTACCTCATTTGGTAATTCTGTTTTCACTATTCTTTAGTTTTAAAAGCCTTAACCACTTAATATAATTTTTTCCAAGTCTTTCCATTTCCTAATAAATGGGGCAATGTCATTCTTTCTGATGGAGGCAGAGAATTCCATTGTGTATATATACCACATTTTCATCTACTGAGGGGCATCTGGGTTGGTTCCATATCTTAGCTATGGCAAATAATGCTGCAATAAACATAGTTGTGCTGTGGCAAATAATGCTGCAATAAACATAGTTGTGCTGGTAGCTTTAGTATGGTCTTGTTTGTGATCATTTGGGTAAATGCCCAAAAGTGGGACTGCTGGGTCATATGTGGAGTCTTCTGAGGAAGCTCCATACTACTTTCCAAAGTGGTTGTACAAGTTTACACTCCCACCAACAGTGCAGTAGGCTTCCCTTCTGGCCACATCCCTTCCAGCATCTGTTGTTATTAGAGTTCTTGATTATAGCCATTCTAACTGGGGTGAAGTGAAGTAAGCCAGGCCCAAAGAAACATAGGTCCCATGGTTTCCCTTATTTGCAATAACTAGTATATGTCTAAGACAAGCAGAAAAGGTCAGATAAGATGATGTTAGGCGAAATGAACCCCAAATGAACCCCACACAAGTGTTTTTTTTCTTTCTTGCTATTATTTCTAACTATTTATAAGGTGATTTTTGTTGTTGTTGTTGTTGCTTTGTATGTTCCTCCCCTACGATATAACCCCTATTTTCACTTTATTTGATGTTGGTATAATTTTGGGAGAGGAAGGGAAAAAAGAAATTGTTTTAATAGGGATACAGGTGGACCCATTGCAACAATAAGATGTACAAGACACGTGTCGAAAAATGAACTTTACAACTTTGGGGGGGGGGGGGGCGCGAGGGGGATGTAGTCGTGGAGATGGGAGGGCAGGGATGGTAAGGGGAAAACAAAGGAGGAGGCAACAATGCTTGATAAGAAATGTACTCATTACCTTAAAAAAAAAAAAACTTATTAGGGCTGGGAAGGTGGCTCAGTGGTAGAGCACTTGCCTTGCATGCCTGAGGCCCTGGGTTCGATTCCTCAGCACCACATAAGCAAAAAGAAAAAAGCCGGAAGTGGTGCTGTGGCTCAAGTGGTAGAGCACTAGCCTTGAACTGAAGAGCTGAGGGACAGCGCTCAGACCCGGACTTCAGGCCCACGACCGGACCCCCCCCACCCCCCCCAAAAAAAGAAATGTACCCATTACCTTGTTCATATAATTGTAACCCCTCTGTATGGTATTTTCACAATAAAAATATATATAATTAAAAACAGTAATAGTTTAGGTGTTTCGTTGTTTTTCTGGTGTATGTCACGTGTGTGTGTGTGTGTGTGTGTGTGTGTGTGTGTGTGTGTGTGTGTGTATGTGTGTGTTGATATCATGACTTTAATTCCTCAAGTCCTTTACAACTTTTACTGGGCTTTCTTGCTCATGACTGGCACTCTAGTACTTGAGCCATGCCTTCAGTCCCACATTTTTTTGTGTGCATCCTGGGGCTTGTGCTCAGGGCTTGAGCACTGTCTCTGAGCTTTTATGCTCAAGGCTAGCACTCTGACACTGCACCATAGCTGTACTTTGAGTTTTTGCTAGTTCATTGAGAATAAAAGTATCAAGGACTTTCTTGCTCAAACTGGCTTTGAACAAAACAAGATCCTCAGATCTCAATCTCCTAAGTAAGCTAGAATTACAGGTGTGAACCACCAGTACCCAGGTAGTCCCAAATTTTTGTTGGTTAATTGGAGATAGAGTCTCACAAAAATTCTTCCCAGGCTGGCCTCAAACCAAGATCCTTCAGATATCAGCCTCCTGACTAGCTAGAATTATAGATGTGAGCTACTGGATCCTGGATAACAATTTAAGAGTAGCCAGAAGGGGCCAGGTGATGGTGACTCCCACTCACAATCCTAGTTACTTAGGAAGCGGGGTCTGAGGATTGCAGTTCAAAGTCTGTGAGAGTCTTATATCCAATTTACCACCAAAAATCTGAAAGTGGAGCTGTAACTCAGGGTCAGGGCTGGGAATGTGGTTTAGTTGTAGAGTGCTTGCCTAGCATTCATGAAGCCCTGGATTCAATTCCTCAGTACTATATAAATAGAGAAGGCTGGGCAAAAAAAAATACAGCAGAGAGGCCCATCAGCTGCACTGGACATTGTTGAATGTGAACTAAGCAACTCAAGGATAGCAATGGGAGGAAGGGAATTTAGAGAGAAAGAGGGTACAGCTGACACTAAGCAAAAAGAAAGAAACATACTTTATCACCTGATCTAGAAGAAATAGTTTTAGTGGGGCTGGGAAGGTGGCTCAGTGGTAGAGCGCTTGCCTTGCATGCCAGAGGCCCTGGGTTCGATTCCTGAGCACCACATAAGAAAAAAAAAAGCCAGAAGTGGCGCTGTGGCTCAAGTGGTAGAGTGCTAGCCTTGAGCTGAAGAGCTGAGGGACAGCGCCCAGGCCCAGAGTTCAGACCCCACGACCGGACCAAAAAAAAAAAAAAAAAAGATAATGACAATTTGCATTGTGAAGGTTAAAATGCATTTAAGGCTTCAGCTAAGTATTACTATGCCACAACATTGTAAAATTTATGTAACCACTAATCTCAATAAAGAGATATTTAGAGAAATAAAACCAACAGAACAGAACAGTGACTCTGGAAGTGGCTCTGTGGCTCAAGCAGTAGAGCACTAGCCTTGAGCAAAAGAAGCTTAGAGACAGCGCCAGATCCTGAGTTCAAGCCCCAGGATCGACAAAAAAAAAAAAAAAAAAGGCTCAACAGAACTTCTCAAGAAGCCACAAGTTTCCCAGCATGGTGGAACACTCGAACTTAGTCAGCTGTGGGGCTTGAACTATGGACCTGGGTGCTGTCCCTGAACTTTTGAGCCACAGTTCCACTTCTAGTTTTCTGGTGATTAATAGGAGATTAATTGGAGTCTTCATGGACTTTCCTGCCTGGGCTAGCTTTGAACCCTGATCCTCAGGTCTCAACCTCCTGAGTAGCTATAACAGGTGTGAGCCACCAGTGCCTGGATAATTTATTTTTACATTTTTCCCTTTCCCATCCCTAACTACATTACATAGTACATATAGTACGTTGAATATAATGACTGTATTTGCTCAGTCTTCCTCCTTCTATTCCTGTGCAATGTTTTCATTTCTTGGTATTCATTTTGATAAACAGTAATTTTGTTATTTAGAAGAGTTATGCCTTTGGGTTCCTTCCCTAAATATAGCCTCCTTTAGTCAGTATCTGTATAAATGTATTAAGCCCTGTATATTTTATCATGCCTAGCTGTATTTTAGATGTAACTTCCACATATGAGAGAAAACCATTTTTCTCTCTGAGCCTGGCTTATTTCTCTTGACATGATTTGTTCTAGGTGCATTCATTTCCATGCAAATGACATATTGTTATTTCTAATGGATAAGTAAAATTCCACTGTTTATAGGTACCACGTTTTTTGGATCCACTCATCTACTGTGGGGCATCTAGGCTATTTCCAAAACTTGGCAATTGTGACTAGTGCAGCAATGAACATGTATGTGTAAATGTCTTTACTGTATCCTGACTTGTAATGTCCTGGATAGGCAGATGTCCAAGAGTGATATGGTTGGATTGTAGGGTTCTATGTTTAATTTTTTTAAGAACCTCCAAACCACCTTTCAGAGTAATTGCACTGTTTACAGTTCCACCAATAGTGCAACAAGGGTTTCTTTCCCCCTGCATCATCCCTACCTGCATTTGTTATTGTTCAAATTCTTGATGCTGGCCAATCTGACTGGGATAAGATAAAAACCACTATCTTCAACAACAACAACAAAAATAGGTTTATACTTTTATGTGTGGGTTCACATCATACTCATTATCATCTGTGCAGTTACTATGATAAATTTCCAGCAGATGGCAGTAAAGTGCTTAGGGAAGAGTAATTTTTTATTATTTATACAAGTTAAGGCAAGAAGACAAGGCAGTCAGCTTTTCTCTGTAGGTTCTGCACAAACAGATTCAATCAATCACATGTCAATAATACCTTCAGCATTAAAAAAATCATTTCCCTCTAATACAACATAAGAACTATGTGCATAGCATTTACATTGTATTGGCTATTACAAGTATGCTAGACATGATAGGGTAAGGGAAAATACGTGCAGGTTGTAGATAAATACTATGCCACGTTATATAAAGTTCTTGAGCACCTATGGATTTTGGCATGGGTGGCGACAGGTCCTAGAATTATCTCCCATGAATCCCAAGGGGGTAAAAACTATTATAGATACCTAACAAAATCGAGAGTTTGTATGAAGGAAAATGGGGCCACTAGAAGTAGGAAATGAATGCTTGGTAGGTACTAAGTTTTACACAAGAAATTAGATAATTGATTGTAAATTTTTAAAAATTATATGTGGTAAATTATAGCTTTTTTGAGACAGGATCTTGTTATGCAGCCCAGCCTTGCAATTCTCCTCTCTCAGCCTCCCAAGTGCTAGAATTATAAGCATGTGCCACCACACTTAGCATGGTAAATTTTCTTTCTTTATTTTTTTGCCATTATTGGGGCTTGAACTCAGGGCCTCACACTTGGTAGGTAAGCATACTACACTTGAGCCATGTGCCCAACTCTTCTGTTTTTGATAAGACCTCAGCTTTTGCCCTGCTCTTCCACCTCTGCCTTCCAAGTAGCTGGGGTTACAGTATATGCCACAATGCCTGGTTTAGGTAAACAATTCTAGGTTTAAAAAAAAGTTTTGAAGATTTTTATCCAATTCTATTGTAGTTGATCTAAAAACACAAGGTAAATATACATAAAAAATTGAAAATCATTATGTAGAAAACCCACTACCATTTGCAAATAAGTATCAATGTTAATTTTTTATAAGAGTAAAAAAGGACAATCTTTTTATATTAAGTGGACAATGACTTAACGATCAATTCCTAGCACAACCAAAAAGGAAAAAGAAAATTACAAGTTCAGAAAGCCATCAAGTTATCATTGAAGACAATGCAGCATAATTAATTTCTGAAAATCTGGGATTTAAGCCAGGTGACAGTGGCTCATGCTTGAAATCCTAGCTGCTCAGGGGGCTGATATCTGAGGATCACAGTTCAAAGACGGCCAGGGCAGGAAAGTCCGTGAGACTCCAATAAATTGGCCCCATGACCGGACCCCCCCCCCCAAAAAAAAAAGGATTAAAGTCTCTATAGTACTCCTATCAGCCATAAGTCTATAGAAGGAAAAAAAAAAAAAAAAAAGCAGATCAAACAAAATAAGCAGATAAAGTTGGGAATGTATAATGATATATTTAGAAAAAAAACTTTTTTTGGGGTCTGGTAGTGGGGCCTGATCTCTGGGCCTAGGCGCTGTCCCTCAGCTCTTCAGCTCAAGGCTAGTGCTCTACCACTTGAGCCACAGCACCACTTCTGGCTTTTTTCTTTTTGCTCATGTGGTGCTGAGGAATCGAACCCAGGGTCTCATGCATGCAAGGCAAGCACTCTTCCACTGAGCCACCTTCCCAGCCCCAGAAAGAAACTTCTTTAGGTGACAGAATGATGGAAAGAATGAGAGAAAGAGAATGATACACTGTATACATAAATGGACATCTTAAGTTGTAACCTCTTTGTACAACTATTTGAAGAAAACAATAAAAAGAGGGAAGCAAATACACCTAAAAATAAAAAAATTAAAATAATAATTTTCTCATTCAGTTAAAGTCTATCATCATAATACCAAAATTGTACAAATGATCATATGATATACTAAAGCAGGAATTTTCTTTGGATCACTCAACACTTGGAGTCAGTAATATATGCAACGTGTGCGATGAAATGGAATTCCTTTCATATCTTCCCTATGATCACGAGCATAGTCCCATAAGTAATAATCCAAAAGAATGGAATTGATTTCTCCATTGGGTTTTTCACCACTTTTTTCAATAAGCTCTAGAAGACAATCCCGGATCAGCTCAACACACCAAACTGTACACCCTCTGATTTCCACCTCTTGCTTATCCCCATATGAAAGCATTACTCCTGCAAGGGTCAAAGAAGGGGAAAACATCATTTCTAAACTTTGGAATTAAAGTAAAATTACAAGTTAAATTTCACATGGTCAGGTGTCAAGTCTGGCTTGCTTGTCTCACTATTCCCAGGACCTAATATGGCACCCTGCATCTTCTAGCTCCCCAAATAAATATTTGCTAAATAGACATACACTAACCCAAAATTTTAAAAATATAATACCCATAAAAGAAAAATATGACAGCAAGTTTATTAAATTATTAAAAAGAAACTACTTAATATTGAGTTTGATACAGGAGAAAACACTTGTAGATTTTGGAGGACATCTGGGAGCCTAATAAATCCCTCCCTTAGGAGGCTACAATGCTTGATAAGAAATGTACTCATTATCTTGCCCATGTAATTGTAACTCCTCTGTACAGTATTTTCACAATAAAATAAATAAATCCCTCCCTTCCTCAATGGCTGCACATGGCTAGAAACTTCCTAGATCCATCAAGAAAAGTGTAAGACAGCCAAGTTGTTGCCCTTAACAAGGAAAAGCATGATTCAGGGCCCCCTGGTCAGCTGTGACTGAATATGAATGAGAACTCAGATAAGATTCCTAGTCTATTCCATCAGCTCATCTTGCAAGTTCATCTTAATTTTTTATGAGTAGTCAAAGACTACTCTTATATTAAATGATTGAAGCCTTGCATGCACAAGGACTTAAGATCAATTCCTAGTTCTACCAAATAGAAAGAAGAAAAGAAAAAGAAAATTAAAGTTCAGAAAAGATATCAAGTTATCCTTGAAAACTAGGGTAGGCCCTGGCTATCCTTATCTGATGAGACTGAAGTGGAGCTCATCAATTCAAATGCTTGTAAGATCAGGCAGATAGGGTAAAATAATGAAGCCATAAAAAGTCAAATCAGTGAGGGCTGGGAAGGTGGCTCAGTGGTAGAGCGCTTGCCTTGCATGCCTGAGGCCCTGGGTTTGATTCCTCAGCCCCACATAACAAAAAAGCCGGAAGTGGTAGAGCTCTAGCCTTGAGCTGAAGAGCTGAGGGACAGCGCCCAGGTCCAGCGTTCAGGCCCCACGACCGGACCAAAAAAAAAAAAAAAACAAAGTCAAATCAGCGAGTTAGAGTAGATGCTGCTCTGTCTAAAGGTAGCAAATGTTCCTACATTTCTTTGCTTTTACAAAAGCAGTCAGAGCCAGGTGCTGGTAGCTCACACCAGTAATCCTGGCTAATCAGGAGGCTGAGAATTGAGGGTTGAGGTTTGAAGCCAGCACTGGCAGGAATCTATGATTTTTATCTCTAATTAACCAACCAGAAAACCAGAAGTGGAACTGTGACTCAAAATAGTAGAACTCTAGCCTTCAGCAGAAAAGCTGAGGAACAGAGCTCTAGCCCTGAGTTCAGGTCTGATGACCAACTTAAAAAAAAAAAAAAAAAAAAAGGCAGAAAGTCTGGCTTTTAAACAAGAAATGGTTTAAAAGGTCCATGCCTGTAATCCCAGCACTCAAGCTGAAGCAGGATTGACAGTTGGTGACCTACTTGGACTACACAGAAGTAATTCACCTGAAAAAAAAATCTGAATCTAGCTATATGAAAACAAAAACAACTCATCCCCAAACTGATTGCTATATGATGTCTCTTTTAAACAATTAATCAGTTAGGATATAAGCATAGTATGTTCTTTTTCAAATTTGGAAATAGATGACAAAATAGATTCCCTAAAGCAGCACAAAAACTGAATAAAATCATCCTCAAAAATAACTATACTCTGGAGCTGGGAAGGTGGCTCAGTGGTAGAGTGCTTGCCTTGCATACCTAAGGCCCTGGGTTCGATTCCTCAGCACCACATAGTAAAAAGAAAAAGCTGGAATTGGCACTGTGGCTCAAGTGGTAGAGCGGTAGCCTTGAACTGAAGAGCTGAGGGACAGCACCCAGGTCCAGAGTTCAGGCCCCACGACCGGACCCAAAAACAAACAAACAAAAAAAAAAAACTATACTCTTGGGGCTGGCAGGTGGCTTAAAGGTAGAATGTTTCCCTAGCATGCATGAAGTCCTGGTTTCAATTCCTCAGTACCACATAAACAGGAAAAAAAAAAATGCCAGTAGTGGCGCTGTGATTCAAGTGGTAGAGCAAAAGCTCAGGGACACTGCCCAGGCCCTGCATTCAAGCCCCAGGACTGGAAATAAATAATAGCAGATCCAGATGAGTTTCCTGACTCTCTCCTACAACTTCTATATCACAATATAGTGTACTTTTCTGATTTATAGTTCCCAAATATTAAACATGTGTTGCACATATCTATGAAACATAAATTCAGGTTTCATTTGATTTAGGTTCAAAACTATTGTGTCCAAATAACACAATTCTAACAATATCTATATTTCACAGTGAAATTAAAAAGTCAGTTTTCTATATTTTAATTGTTCTTATATTTTTCTTTACATATATTTAAAAGGAAAAATTGAGACAGGGTTTCACTATTTTGTCCAGGCTAACCTTAACTCATCATCCTCTTGACTTAGGTTACTGCATGCTGGGATTACAGGTGTGCAACACCATGCCCAAAACATATACTTTTTTTTTTTTTTTTGGGTCCAGTCATGGGGCCTGAACTCTGGGCCTGGGCACTGTCCCTCAGCTCTTCAGCTCAAGGCTAGTGCTCTTACCACTTGAGTCACAGCGCCACTTCCGGCTTTTTTCTTTTTTCTTATGTGGTGCTGAGGAATCGAACTCAGAGCCTCATGCATGCAAGGCAAGCACTCTACCACTGAGGCACCTTCCCAACCCCAAAACATGTACTTTTAATGATAGTGATTTTTTTCTTTTAGGCAAAGGAAAGTTCTGTTTTGTTCTGTGAAAGAAACAGCAGAAACTCAACAACAATTCATAATATAACAACAATGAGGTTACAAACCATCCAGAAGCTTCTTCAGTAGTTTATCAGAGTATTTTAGGGCACCAAGGTAAACAAGAATTTGAGGTAATCTATAATCAGCAAACATGGTGATACTAGAGATATCCTCAAAGCAGCCATCTCCTTTTCCTTCTAATACACTCCACGTATCTGCCACAAGAATCTGGGCTCGTTTGTAAAAAGAAATTCTTTTCCCCTAATGAATAGAGAGAATATAAATGTTACCGGGGTATTTGAGAGCTTTATGCATGCTTATTTATTGATTTCTTTTTGGTGCTAGGGCTTGAACTCAAGGCTTGGCACTGTACCTGAGCTCTTTTGCTCAAGGCTATTGCTCTACCACTTTGAGCCACAGTTCCACTTCTAGTTTTCTGATGGTTAACTGTAGATAAGAAGCTCATGGTCTTTCCTGCCTGGGATGACTCTGAACCTCAATCCTCAGATCTCAGCCTCCTGAGTAGCTAGGATTATAGGTGTGAGCCATCACTGCCCAGCTATGAATGCTATTTTTAATTCTTGGTGATTTTCTTCTAAAACTACCCTCTTTTGGTCTCACTATATGTGTCTAGAATCCTGTATAATTTGTCATATCCCACTGCATTTTAAAATCTGTCTTCTGCACAGAACTAGAGGGAATCAGGGAAAAAACATATAACAGCAGGACCCATCAACTGCAGTGGACATTGACCAAAATGAACTAAGCAACTCAATGGCAGCGATGGGAGGGAGGGAACAAGTGGGAAAGAGGGAACAGCTGATGCTATGCAAAACAAAAGAAATGTACATATCACCCAATATGGAAGAAAGAACTGTATTGCAAAGCTCATAGAACTCATAAATGTTATAGACCATGATAGACAATTTGTTCCATGAAAGTTAGAATGTGTTTGTGACTTTAACTAAGCTTCACTATCCCACAATACTGTGAAATTTGGGAAATTATGTAACCACTTAATCACAATTAAAAAATTTGAAAAAATAAATAAAATAAAATCTGTCGGGGGCTGGGAAGGTGGCTCAGTGGTACAGCGCTTGCCTTGCATGCCTGAGGCTCTGGGTTCCATTCCTCAGCACCACATAAGCAAAAAGAAAAAAGCCGGAAGTGGCGCTGTGGCTCAAGTAGTAGAGCGCTAGCCTTGAGCTGAAGAGCTGAGGGACAGCACCCAGGCCCAGAGTTCAGGCCCCACGACCAGACCCAAAAAAATAAAATAAAATAAAATAAAATCTGTCTTCTGCATATCAGGGAGAACATGTGCCATCTGTCTCTCTGATCTTGGCTTACTTCACTCAACATTGTTTGAATCCATTTGCCTATTGTGGGGCATCTGGGTTCTTTCCATATCTTGGCTATTGTGAATAATGTGGCAATGAACATGGATGTGCAGCTACCCTTGTCATACCCTGGTTCATGATGTTCAGGGTAGATGCCTGGGCGTGGTACGGCTGGGTTATAGAGAAGGTCTATGTTTAGTTTTTGTTTGTTTTGTTTTTGTCAGTTATAGGGCTTGAACTCTGGTCCTGGGCATTGACCCTCAGCTTTTCAGCTCAAGGAGAACACTACCACTTGAACCACGGTGCCACTTCCACTTTTCTTGTGGTTAATTGAAGATAAAAGTCTCATAAACTTTCCTGCCCAGGCTGGCTTTGAACCATGATCTTCAGATCTCAGCCTCCTGAGTAGGTAGGATTACAGGCATGAGCCACTGGCGCCCGGCTCTATGTTTACTTTTTTGAGGAACTTCCAGAGTGATTGTATTAGTTTACATTCCCACCATATAAGCTACTTTTTAAAAAGGCATATGTTGATCATTTTATCAGGAGCTCAATAATCTTACTCTATTAGGAAGAATTTATAGACCTTAGTAAAATGGGCTCTGCTGTGGGAAGAGGTGTCGGTGGGAAGGAGAAGAAGGAATGGAGAAGGTAAGTGATGGTGAATATGGTCAAAGTACTCTATATGCATGTATGAAAATGGAATGATAAAACCTGCTAAAGTTGTTTTAAGAAGATGGGAGAAGGGACAAGGGAGAATGATAGGAGTAAGGCTGAAATGGTATATTTTATGAATATATGGAAATAAAACAATGAAACTCCTTGTACAACCAAGTGCACTAATATAAAATCTTGTAAAAAAAAGTGTAGATTTTTTACAGAAAACAAAAGGATCCAATTAATATTTGATTATCTTAATCTCCAAATTTACTTCCTAGTTTTTTTCTCTAAGGTATATATGTATATATATATGCATATATACACATGTATATCCATATATATACACACATGTACATACATACATATATATGTACCTGCTACCATACACACTTATTTATATTTATTTAATTTCCTGGTACTATCTAGCATTAATTCAGTATTTCATGTATGTGTTTCAATGTCACAATAATCCAACTAGTTACTAAGAGTTTGAACCCAGGGAATCAAGTTTGCTTGGCTTGCTTGGGCTGGCACATTACTACTTGAACCACAACTCCAATCTTGATTTGGCTTTTTTTGGTCAGTTGTGGGGCTTGAACTTTGGGCCTGGGTACTGTCCCTGAGCTTTTCAGTTCAAGGTGAGCGCTCTACCACTTGAGCTACAATGCCACTTCCTGTTTTCTGGTGGTTAATGAGTCTCATGGACTTTCTTGCCCAGGCTGGCTTTGAACCTTGATCCTCAGATCTCAACCTCCTGAGTAGCTAGGATTACAGGCATGAGCCACTGGCGCCTGGCTGCAATCCTGCTTTTTGCTGGTTATTTTGGAGATAAAGTCTCATGGACTTTTCTGCCTGAGTTGTCCTGGAACTGTGATCCTTTGTATCTCAGCCTCCTGAGTAGCTAGGATTTCAGGTGAGCCACTGGCACTGGGCTTCATGTATATGTTGTAAACACAATAGCCCAAAAGAGCTAATTAATTAATTCAGACTGTTGCATAGTTACTACATATTCTAAATTAATTTTTGTTTCTAAGAGAGGAAAATAATACTTCCTGTCCTTAGGCCCATATAGCTGTTGTGTGGCTCAAATGAAAACATGTGTAAATACCTTACAAATAATAAAATATGATTTAAGCAATATTATTGGTAATTTTAATTGTTTAAAAAAACTTCAGCCGGGTGCTGGTGGCTCACGCCTGTAATCCTAGCTACTCAGGAGGCTGAGATCTGAGGATCGCGGTTCAAAGCCAGCCCGGGCAGGAGAGACCGTGAGACTCCTATCTCCAATAAACCACCACAAAACCGCAAGTGGCGCTGTAGCTCAAGTGGTAGAGTGCTCGCCTTGAGCTGAAGAGCTGAGGGACAGCGCCCAGGCCCAGAGTTCAAGCCCCACGACCGACCAAAAAAAAAAAAAAAAAAAAAACTTCAGAATTTGTTGAATTACAATTACAAAAGGAATAAATTTTCCATTTGATATAAGCACTTATTAAGCTATTCAATGCATTTGTAACACCATTCCTCTGAAGTTGCTTTCATTTCTATGCCACACTTAAATTACACAGTGATTAAGGATTTTAAAAAATCAGGTGTGCTGAAGCATGCCTGTAATCCTAACACTCAGGAAGCTAAACTAGAAGGACCATGAGTTTTAGGCTAATCTGACCTACCTGTAGTTCTAGGCTAACATGGGCTACATAGTGAAATATCTCTCTCACACACACACCAAAATAATAACAACCCAATAATAATAAGGAATGAAACAGATTGATAGAAAACAAAAAAAGTGGCTGAGTGCAGGGGCTCAAACCTGTAATCCTAGCTACTCAGGAGGCTAAGATCTGAGAATCGGGGTTCAAAGCCAGCCAGTCAGGAAAGACTGTGAGACTTTTTTTTTTGTCAGTCGTGGGGCTTGAACTCTGGGCCTGGGTGCTGTCCCTCAGCTCTTCAGCTCAAGGTGAGCACTCTACCACTTGAGCTACAGCGCCACTTCCGGTTTTGTGGTGGTTTATTGGAGATAGGAGTCTCACGGTCTCTCCTGCCCGGGCTGGCTTTGAACCGCGATCCTCAGATCTCAGCCTCCTGAGTAGCTAGGATTTACAAGTGTGAGCCACCAGCGCCCGGCGACTGTGAGACTCTTATCTTCAACTAACCACCAGAAAACTGGAAGTGGTACTGTGGCTCAAGTGGTAGAGTGCTAGCCTTAAGGTGAAGAACGCAAGGACAGCACACAGGTCCAGAATTCAAACCTCACAACTGACAAAAAGAAAAGAAAAGAAATAAAAAGAAGCATAGTGGCTTTCAAATGCAACTTTTGTTATCATGTTTTGTTCTCAGTGAATAAACTTCAAGCTTTTATTCTTTTTCTTTTTTACAAAGGTTTTATTCCTATAATGAGTTCTGAAAATAAACTGAGAGAATTATTGGAGAGTTTTAAAATCTTCAATAGAGGAAACTCACCTTATATTGAGTTACATCTCTATAAGAAGGAAAACTTTCAACAACCAGGTGCATTAACTTCTGGGCACTTTTTTCACTTTTTCTGACACAATTAAGAAAAGAGCCTCCAAACTTCTCTAGCAGAATTTTTCCAGTTTCATTGAGAATCCGATGCCTCTCTTCTATTAAAGGCATGGGAACGTCTGAATCCGAACGGAATATATTCCAAACCTGATCAAGAGTCACTGTGGCATAGTAGGAGGCGCTTGTTATTGGAATGCCTTAGAGAAGAAAGAAAAATCAGAGGAACTGTGTCATAGTTTGATAATTCATTATGTCTTTCATTTTATTTATTTATTTTTTTTTGGGGGGGGGTGGCTGGTCGTGGGGCCTGAACTCTGGGCTTGGGCGCTGTCCCTCAACTCTTCAGCTCATGGCTAGCGCTCTACCACTTGAGCCACAGCGCCACTTCCGGCTTTTTTCTTTTTGCTTATGTGGTGCTGAGGAGTCGACCCCAGGGCCTCATGCATGCAAGGAAAGAGCTCTACCACTGAGCCACCTTCCCAGCCCCATGTCTTTCATTTTATAAGATACAATTAACACAAAGCCAAATTAGTGCTAAAGAAATGCATTAAAGACACATGAATAATAATCAGAAGCGAACCCCTTACTTTCTATTTGCTGTTAGGTATATTCACCCATTCTATTGCAACATTACATCGCCATGTTATCTGACTTTCTACAAGTCTTACAGTATCTGTCCCTTTATTCTTCAAGTGTTATTAAAGTGGGATTCTTTGATGGAAAGGGTGACTCTGATCAAGATGCACTGTGTACATATATGGACATGTTAAACTGAGACTCCTTTGTACAACAACCATTTGAAAATAATAAATAACAACAAAGTGACATTCTCTTTAGTAAACTCATTGCCACTTAAAAAATAAAGTAGCATTCTTGGTACCCCTGCAGGGGCTTGAACTTGGGACCTCTACTTGAGCCCCAGAGATAAGAATGTAGAGGATTTGCCTATTAGGGCTGGCTTGGAACCATGATCCTCAGATCTCATCTTCCTGAACAGCTCAGATTACACGAGTGAACCACAGGCTCTGGGTTTAAAGTGACATTTACGCCGTCTTTCATATCTATACTGTGATGATGATTATATTACTTTTGCTTTAATCAGAGGATCTATCACAGAAGAACTTCAGGTTTACCTTAACTGATTATCCCGTCTCCCAACCACCAGTCCCAGTAAACTGACACCAGGGCACCAACCTTCGTCCAGGGCTCGGTAAACTGCGGCGCACAGGGACCAATACCCGCTGTAGGTTTTGCCTCCATACCTTACCAGGCACTTGTGCTCCTCCTGCTCCGCCCAAAAGGAGAAGTTGAGCGTGTCTACTACGAACACCCAGTTGACAGCGGCCTCGTCGGCCGCCCTAGGATTCAACTCGTGCAGGGCCTTCCACCCATCCACCCGCAACTCCGGCCCCGCGGCGCGGGCCAGCAGCAACTCGGCCACGCGTCGCACCCCCCCGCTGTCGACGCACACATCTCGACTGTTTTCTGCAATGAATCGAGCCGATTCCCTGGGTGTTAGGATCCCTTCCATTCCGCCCCACTCCATTCCTCCGCGGAAGTGACACTCCATAGACTTTGCCCAAGTCTCTTCCCCCTCTAGAGCCGGCAAGGTCCAGGCTCCCCGCCCTCCCTTCCAGAGAACCCAGAGCGCGTCAGCTGCAGGAACCCTCCGGCTGAACTTGCGCTACACGGAACCCTAAAGCTCCGGGAGACACGCCCGGGAGAAGTCGGGGGAAACAGAGGACGGAAGCACTTCCGGCAGAGGAGTCCCATCCACGCTCACTCGGGCGCGCTACGAGATCCTACTTCCGGGTCAGAAGGCCCGGAAGTCATCTCCGTTGGTCCGCTCTGTTTCGAGTGACCGGCTGCGGGGGGGCCCTGAGGGCTCGGCCCGGTCGGTCGGGAGCGGCCTCCTTGGAGCTGAAGTCCGCGCAGGTTTCTGAGCTCCTCACCGCTCCTCCGGAAGAACGCGGCCGCGCCAGCCTCCGCCAGCCTCCGCCAGCCTCCGCCAGCCTCCGCCAGCCTCCGCCAGCCTCCGCCTCTCTCCTCCGGGAGGACCAAGTCTGAGCAATTTGCCTTAGTGCTGGGGGCTCAGTCACCCCGACTTGGAGGACACCGAACAGCAATTTCCCCAAATTTAGTTCTGGGCTGGGCCATTCCCTCCTGCCAGATTCCTGACCCATTTTGGGGCTGAATGAACATTGAGGAGTAGTAAGAGAGCTTGGAGAAATAATTGAGGTACTAGGCATATAAATGAACATGTTCCTGTACTAAACCCCATGTAAATGTCAGAAGTGGCTGAGATTTAAACCTTTGGGAATGAAGCTTACCAAATCAAGGATGCTATAAGAGCCAATCACTGATAGCCATAATTCTGGCTTTTACCAGCATTCCCACCCTAAAACTTTAAATTTTATAAACATACTTTATTAATAGAAAGGTACAGTTTCTATAATAATTTAGATTTGCTTAACCCTAATGATGCAGTAATTTTTTTTATTTTTTATATTTTGGTCACTCGTGGGGCCTGAACTCTGGGCCTGGGCGCTGTCCCTCAGCTCTTCAGCTCAAGGCTAGCGCTCTACCACTTGAACCACAGCACCACTTCTGGCTTTTTCTGCTTATGTGGTGCTGAGGAATCGAACCCAGGGCCTCATGCATGGGAGGCAAGCACTGAGCTACCTTCTCAGCCCAATGATGCAGTATTAATAAAGAGGTATGTACTGTTATTCTCTAGAGCTTTAAATCCATAAATAACAAAAAAAAAATAGTTTGCATCTTTGAAAAATCACTTACAAAGAAGTAATCATGGGGACTGGGAATGTGGCTTAGTGGTAGAATGCTTGCTTTGCACACATGAAGCCTTAGGTTATTCTGCTCAAGTTTAAATACTCCAGGAGAGTCTGGTTGGCTTAAGTCAAATGCCTACTGGGTTGAAAAGCAGCGCTTAAGAATCAGTATTTCTTTCCTATATACTATATACAATGGGAAGAGGAAAACTTCACAAAGAAAACATGCTTTCAGCAAAGAAAAATGGGTAACTGTATTAACAAAATGTCTTGTAATTCACTGATTTGGTTATTGAGCAATGTTTTTTTTTCTCACACATATACTTCAAAAACAGTTCTGCCTAACACAACACAGTTATTCCGCATAAAATAAAAAATCTCACCCATTCAATTGAAAGTGATAACTCAAAGTCTCTATCTCTTTTTTTTTTTTGGTCGTTCATGGGGTGTGGGAACTGCCCTTCTCAGCTCTTAGTTGACTCAAGGCTAAGTGCTCTACCACTTGAGCCACAGCGCCACTTCTGGCTTTTTCTGCTTATCTGGTGCTAAGGAACTGAACCCAGAGCATCATGCATGCAAGGCAAACACTCTACCACTGAGCCACCTTCCCAGCCCCAAAGTCTCATTTCTTTCTTAATGAGAATCTTAAGTCCGAGCTGTCTGGGTAAGGTACATTTCTACTTCTTGCTCCACCTCAACTGTGTTAGATCAAATCCTGGAAGTAGTGATAACACCTGGGATTCCTGGATTCACTGGGTAAGTGTTTTCAGATGAAGAAGAGAGACCAAGGTAGGATAGGGTAGAAGAAATTGGTCAAGCCATGATATGATTTATCAGCCACAGATTGCTTTCAACTTGATCCCATGTCTGAGACCCAGTTATTAATAAATGACCTATTAAAAAAAGCTATTACAAGAAGGTCTAACCCTCTTCCTAGAACGTATTGTTTAAAAGCATTAGTCTTCTCTTCTGTAGGAAATTGTAGGGCCCTGAAAATCCCATATGCCCTCTGACTCTTCTGCCATTGATGGCAGAAGAAGAATAAACTTGGCCAAATAATAGTTTGGTCTCTTCTAGTTTTAAATGGTCTCATTTAAGGTTAATAGTTTTGTAATAGGTCAACCCTTGATCATGTTCTTTCCAATTTTTTGTGGTTCTACCTTTCAAAGATGAATTCTGCTGTTCTTCTGGTAATGGTGTGTCTAGCAAGCTGTCTCTGATCACCAGTTAAGGTATAGTCTGTCTTATTCTCAGTTTTAGCTTTTACCCTCCCGTATTTACCACTGACTAGTCCGTGTAGTGTAAGTGGTGGTGTGGCTTTTCAGCACTCAGTCATCCAAGTGTTACCCTTGAATTTTTCTTTTCCTTTGTTTTGGGCTGATACCAAGGCTTAATCTTAGGACCTCACTCAGTTGAGCCAAATTTTCAGTACAACTTTTTTGAAGATGGAGACTAGTGGACCTTTTCCTCCCAGGCTTTGCACATACAACCATAACTCAAAATTAGGCCTCTCATTTTAAACAGGGACAAATTTATAACTGCCTGAGCTTCCCCTCCAAGTATCTACTTGTCTTTTTCCTCAGACTGCTTCTTTCACTGGAAGTGTTGAAATTGGAGACCAGTTATGTCCATCTGTATATATTGTCTTATTTTGTTCATCTGCTAAGAGAATCAGAGGATTTGGGTTCCTAAATATTTGGACCAACATAGATTAGTATTTTCCTAAGCTCAAGGAAGGTCAGTGCATTCTAGGTAATATAGTTGTGACTCTTCAAGGATGTTTTTGCTGACCCTGGGTGTGGCTTAGGGGGTAGAGTGCTTGCCTAGTGTGCATAAATCCCAGAGTTCAACTTAAATAATTTTTTTAATAATAGGAAGTAGAGGTGTGGCTCTAGTGGTAGTGTTAGGCTTGCTTGAGGAAAAAGGCCAAGCAAGAGAGGCTCTGAATTCAAGTGCCAGTACTGGCATAGACACACCTTCACCTACACAAACTATAAATAAGCCAACAAAAGGCCCTGTTTTTGCTAGCCCCTGCAGCCTTAGGATGTAGCACTATTCCTGTGCACCTTGGTAACAATACATTGATGTTAATGAAAAGGTATACAAATGTTTGGGTATTTTTTTTAAATCTATATAGTGCTGCATTACAACAGCCCTCAAACTTCAAGAGTGAACTAGGGAATGTAAGATATTACTGTTGGCTCTGTAGACTGGTTGAAATTAGTCCTAGGTATACAACGTGAGAAAAACTGCATTACCACCTTCAAAAAGTTTTGTCACCACTACCACCAAGAAGTTGAATGCTATATTCATAGATAGATAGACTATATTCCTAGCACTCAGAGGCAACTCTGGGTTACAAAGTGAAAACCTCTCAACAAATAATAGCTGTGTGCAGTGGTTCCCCTTATAATCCCAGTTATTCCAGAGGCAGTGATCAGGAGGTTCATCCTTTGAAGCTAACAGGCAAAAAAGCTAATAAGCCATCTCAACAATAACATCAACAACAAAAAACTGGGTCTGGCCAGGTGCTGGTGGCTCACGCCTGTAATCCTAGCTACTGAGGAGGCTGAGCTCTGAGGATCCCAGGTTGAAGCCAACCTGGGCAGTCCATGAGACTCTTATCTCTAATAAACTACTCAGGAAAAAAAAAAAGCATGGAAAAGGAGCTATTGCTCAGTGGTACAGCACTAACTAGCCTTGAGTAAAAAGCAGCTTAAGAACAGCACCCAGGCCCTGAGTTCAAGCCCTAGGACCAACACAGAAAATAAAAAATGAAGGCAAAAAAGCTGGGTGTGGTGTGGGTATGGTAGCACATGCCTGTTTTCCCAGCTAAGTGGGAGTATAAATAAGTTTGCAGTCCAGCTCCTCTCTGCCACACACTGAGGGGTGGGTGGTATGGCTCAAGTTGGCAGTACTGAAAGGAAAAAAGGAAACCAAAAATATAAAGAAGTTTGGTAAAATTTGAGGTCTGAATAGTCAAAGTTTTGTGTGTGTGTGTGTGTTCAGACAGGACCTTGCTATGTAGCCCAGGGTGCCTCAAACTGGATCTTTCAGCTTCAGGTTTTAAGATTACATATGCCTGCTACCAAACCATGTCAGGCAGCGAAATCAAACGTTTGTGGAATAGTGAACTTTATCTTGAGCACTATAGGTCATTAAAGCACATTTTTTCCCCCAATGCTAGAAATTGAACCCAAGGCTTTAGGCATGCTAGTCAAGTGCTGTCCCAGAACTACAAGCTCAGAACTTACGATTTTTGATAGGTTCTTGATATGTGGGTCAGGCTTGCATTTTTACTCAAAATCCTCCTTGCCTCCACTTACCAAATCTTGGGATTTTAAGTACCACCATACTCAACTTGATATTAACTTGTATGGTATTACTCTCCAAACCTTGGTTCTTTACAACTAACAGAAAACAGAGTTGGGGCAAGCATTTGCAAAAAGACTATCTTAAAAGCATGTGTGTATGATGTAATTTCTGCCCAAGCATTGGACCTTCAAATCACCATGAAATCAATAGAAGTGAAATTTTTTTAGTATCCTCAACCCCTGACTTTTATTTATTTTTTGTCAGTCGTGGGGTTTGAATTCTGGGCCTGGATGCTGTCACTCAGCTCTTCAGCTCCAGGTTAGTACTCTACCACTTGGGCTACAGCACCACTTCTGGTTTTCTAGTGGCTTATTGGAGATAAGGGTCTCCTGCCTGGGCTGGCTTTGAATGGAGATCCTCAGATCTCAGCCTCCTGAGTAGCTAGGATTAAAGCCCTGAGCGTCTGGCTGGCTTTTCTTTTTGGTTATGTACTTGCTGACATATTAGGACTACAGTATTTAAAAATAATCTGTTCTTGGGACACACACACATGGTTATCCTTGCAATTACATCC